ACGGCTCAAATCCACATCTTAACAAATATACATGCACACGAGTCGGAACCACCTAAAGTGGTCTGTACGACAGGACTGGGTGTAAATAAATACACTCAAGTGCTATAATCACGTGAAGACTGTGTGGATAATCGCGGGTCACCTACAAGTCGGAACCACCTATAGTGGTCTGTACGACAAGACTGTGCACCTAACTTGGATCCAAGATGAGCGCATAGTGCGAGAGGTGAACATCACGTGAAGGACTGTGCCCTAACTTTGGGCAGGAGCACTAACACCGGGGTGCAGGTTTATGAGCTCTCAACACATCTCACATAATCATCAAGTAACATAAACAATCTACAACTCACCTGGTACTTACTTCAGTGTCCACTGCGTCAAATCACAACATGCACACTATATTAATTCAATGATCTACGTATAAATCAATATGCATGGCATTTCTAAACATAATTTCATTTAAATCGATTTGCAGGGAAAAATCTCAAGTATATAGGTATATACGGAAAACCAAAAGCCCACTCACTGATATGTGGAAGGGTTGTAGCCCTAAGCCTCGATTGACTACGCTTGTCCTGAGGATAGGTCTCACCTATATGCGAAACAACTATATAAGCGTTAATTTAGAGCACATAAGCGAAACTAGCTAATAACTTCTCATACAATGCTCAAAATGAGGTGTTTGAATATACCAACGTGATCTACTCAACACCACAAACATCCCCATTGGACCACCCACGCGCCGCCACGCTCTGGCAAGGGCACGGCCAAACGCACCCCCACGTGCGGCCAACCTAACGGAAACTTAACTGCCGTTAGGAATATTCCATTAAAGTTGACGGAATATTCTCCTTTCTTCTCCGATGGATCGCCGGACTCTGCTGCCAGCTGCCGTCTGTGTCATCGGAAACTAGAAATTTTTCAAAGCTTGATATCTCCACCATTTCTCAACCAAATTTCATAAAATTTGTCTCAAATTGAAGCTCTAAACAAGTAGAACACGTTCTTACCTTTCAAAGTCCTAAAACCAACGGAAAAATGACTGAAGAAATCCTTGAAAACTGGCTAGTCCTGCAAACCTATAACCAAGCTCATTTCGACGTCCAAACTTAACCAAAACTAACCTAACATGCTAGAGAAGACTAATGATTACCTTTGTAAGTCTTAAAATCTAGTATAACCTCGACAATGTTAGTATGAAATCGACTCCTCGCCGGAGTTCAAAGTTTTGGGGTTCTTGAGGTCCTTACTTCGAGCAACTGGTATGTACAAGTTCATGAGACCATGAGGGAAGTGATGGTACCTTTCAAACACTCGATCTGTGAGAGCAACGTAGGTTTGGAGGTTGGTCAATCAATGTATGGACGGAGAGAGTTCGAGAGAAAGAGAGAGAAAGATGCAGGTTGCACGTGTGTGCAAGTGCGTGTATGTGTGTCCGGATTGGGCACCTAAAAACCAGCCTAAGCTCTAATTAGGCTGCATGCCAAATCCATACAAAACAATACCAATTTCCAATTGGGTCCAACAAGGTAGGATATGAAATAATTGGTCCCATTCCTTAGCCCAATAACACACACCACACAACGTTCAAGGGCAAACTAGATATTTCACACTATCAATAAAAATAATTCGGAACGGGCTGTCACACTACATATTCATACTAAGGCTCGTGGCCTGGCCCTGGCAAAAGAAAGTTAGTTATGAATAATCATAAAACAAAATGAATTTTATTGAAATAGAAAAATGATAGAAAACACCTTGTAAATAAACTTGAATCATCAAAAGCTCTCTACTTCAAGTTGTCCAAAATAGTGCACTGTGAACCCTAATGGCTAAATAGCATAATTTATCATACTAGAGAATAAAATCCTTCCTAGAAAAGGTCTTCTAAAAACTAGGAAACATAATAGAATAAGATATCTAGAAAATACATTTCTAATCAATAATGAGAAATTTGCCCAGCCACAAAACAGCCACGTTTATGGACCTTTAGGACACCAAAACAGGCCCAAAATGACTTGACTTAAAGCTTGAGATGTCCTCAACATTATCTCCAAAAGACCTCGAACCCCAAAGACACCATCTTCGACACCAAAAAACCCCCAATAAGCCCAAAACATCACTTTGATAGCACTGCGCACCGGTCTTTTATTTCATCGCCATAAATTATCCGCCTGGTAGAAAATTCTGAAACTTTGGCATGATCAAGTTGAGAGAATCAGAACACCCTCCAATTAGAATAACTCCAAAATTCATCCGTTTGATCATTTTTTTGCTCAAGGGGAAGTCGAATGTCCTAGATTGAGAATAATATAACAAAGTAACAAAATTCTCACAAAATAATCAATAAATTAATACTAAGATTAGATTAAAATGTATTGTATAATATCGACTCATCAGGAGACAAGGCATCAATAGGAGGGTGGGAAAGGCACCGAAAGAGGCAGGAAAATGAAGCTTAATGAAATGTGAATATTGTTGGTGATGTGACAGAAATTGAAGCTTTAAATTAACTTGGCATAGAATGAACAATTAAGAAAGTAAGAGGGGATGAAAGCAGATTATAAAAGAGGGCTTTTCCTCAAAGTTTTGTGCCCCGTAACCTATTTGATTGAGCTCTTAAAATATATTTTTGACAAAATCCGTTAGCGCAAAAATTTGAGTTTGAGCACCAGTTAATACCTTACAATATGGTATTAACAATGTACTAACATGATATTAACAAAGAGAAACTAATAAAAAAATGTTTAAAAAAAAAGTAATGTTAGAGAGACTATATGTATAGAAAAAAATTACAAACTAAATAATGTCTCATCAGTAGAAATGAACACGTTTATCAACGCTTAAGTAATAATCCAAACATCAACTTTCATGTCATTTAGTTTACAAAATTTAGTCTCCCTAGCATTACTCAATTTTAAATCTCTATCAAAAAGTTTGCAGATGTTTTTATTTGAAGGTTATGACAAAATTAACTCGATATCACACCAGCCCAAGCAAAGTAACTTATCGAGTTTCTAATTTTGCACCTGACGGCAAGTCTTTGTCCGTTTAATCTCACTCTCTCTCTTTCTCGATTGATATTTTTATAAATAGCCACTATTTCTAAATTGATATATAAAGAAAGTCATTGTTTTTACATAAGCTCAAAGGAGTTTTTAAGTTTTAGTGATTTTTACATTTTCCTTTTGAGTTGTAAATCATTGTTAATATATATTAATTTTGAGTTGTCTATTACTTTCTTTATTATAGTTGTAAAGGATTTCATGCTCGTCAATTCTTTGTAAGAAGCTTTAATAAAAATGACTTATGCTAAGTTGAAATTTAATTAAAAAAAAAACAAAATACAATATGATAAAGACAAAAACCAAAGCTTTATGAGTAGAAAACAAGCCCACATGCAAAGATTAAATCTTTTTTTTTTATTTTATTTTATTTTTTTTTTTTTTTGTGCCAATGCCCCTGATGGAAGCCTAACAATAAGGTCCTGCAAAGTCACTTAGGACTTCATGTGCAGCCTCAACTGCGATAGACTTGTTGCAGTAAGAAAGTTGAATTTTCCCAATACGCTCTAACCTAAGTGAAAAGTTTTGTCGGGGCCACACTCCCAAGATACTGTTGTGATGGTTTCAGAGAGCCAAACTATCTGTTGAGCAAAAACTGTACAAGAACTGTAAATAAATAATTCATTTCACATAATTTTATTTTCGTTTATTTTTTTTTAAAAGGGTTTTATTAATTTGAGTTGAACTCATTTTAGATTATGTGCCTATTAATTATAACCCTTCATTTTAAGAACAAAATATCCTTTGGTCCTAACATGAAATATATGAATTTTGAGGGTTGGTGTTTTTGTTTGACTTTGACTTTGTGGCTGCATTTGTAAAAGGCCTAAATTGCCCACGTGCCTCTGTTGAGAGATTACGCTGGTCGTAATTCTTTGGAATGGACTTAGAATTTTTCGTGAATGAACAAACCACTAAAATATGGAAAAGAATTTGGTACTTAGATTTTGCGGTTGCATCCAAAATGTGACATTAGACTGCTTACGTATTCGTCTCCTGGTTCATGAGAACCTCAATACAAGCTTTGGACCTTTGGTGAAGAATTTTCACAGGAACAGAAAAGGAAACATTATTCCAAATCTAACTCAAAAGCAGGCACAGTGCACAATTCAATTGCTTTCTAACACGGAAAATGTTACAAGAATATTAAACGAGTTCTAACACTAATGACTAAGATAATGGAAACCAATATATATGTAAAACCCTTAGATCTGCTGGGGATATTTTGAATAAACTAGAACCATTTTCATACCAGATAGCCGCATCAGTTTACTCCCAGAGACAGAATCTCGCATTGAAATATCTAAGCCTAGCATCTTAAGGTATAAGATCATGGGTCTCTCTGCGAATTGCAGATTAGTTTCGGGCTTGGATGCAAAAGAAGTATCCATAAAGTCGTATGCAATGCTTCTTAATTTAACAGGAGCTCAAAAAAGCTCTAGGGAAACTTGGCATTTAATCCTGAGTTACGAATCCACCACCAAATTGGGAAAAATATGATTTCAGATTTTGTTCTGTTCTTGTTTTTGGGTTAGGTACAAAAACTTGGAAACAAGACACAACACATCGGGGAATCCGTAGTTGATCAACTGTAAAAATAAAAAATAAAAACCAAATAGCTAAAATATTTCCATGAGTAAACAAAATTATCAATTATACACATGAAAAGTCTCCAAAATCTAAAGTCTTCGAACCGGATACTATTATTATTTTTAGAATTGAACACCGACTATTTCTAGTATTGAGCAATAACACTACCACTATTTTCAAAACTTAACATTGGCTATTTTTAAAACTCAAAATTGATTATTTCTAGAATTGAACACTAATTAATTTTAGAACTAAAGACTGATTATTTCTATAAGTGAATATTGGTTATTTCTTGAACTGAACACTGGTACTATATTATTTCGTAAACTAAACATTGACTATTTCTAGAACTGAACACGGGTACTATCACTATTTTTGAAACTGAACAATAATACTATCACTATTTCTTAAATTGAACACTGACTATTTTTTAATCTGAACATGGTATTATTACTATTTCTTAAATTGAACACTAGTACTATCACTATTTTTGAAATGATTACGGACTATTTCTTAAACTAAACACAGCACTATCATTATTTCTTAAACTGAATACTAGTACTATCACTTATTTTAAACTGAACATAGATACTATCTCTGTGCCTTGAACTTGTTTATCTCAGAGCTTGTAAAATGAAAACCGACCAACGCATCCACGCCACTTTCACCCTTGTAAGATGAAAACACGAGGAATATTAGCCTTATGCAACAACATTACAATGAGTAAAGTAGATTGTCAGCATAACAGGCACAAAGTTGTCCACAGTAACGGAACATGCTTAAGTTCCTAAGGGGACTGAAAGCATCCAAGAACTTGAATAAAGCACCTAGCCTCCCTGGAATGGCAAACTGGCAAAGGATTTCATTTTCGAAAGAGGATGATCGACCTCCCACCTGAAGCATATAACCGGAAACTTATGGGATCAAAATCTTAACTGTGAACCATTTTGGGGAAGCAAATAAAGGAAACAAAATATGGACTTGTCATTTCTTAAATCTCATGTTACATATATGTTTAGAAACATATATCACACCATTTCATGGCACCCAAGTTGATAGATAGAAGAAAGAAAAAACAACGCTTTGTTGGGGTATTAATTAGGTTAAAACAGAAGTTCGAACATGACAGAGTGAACCAACAAGCCTCAACATGTCATTACACTTCAAATTTTGTTACTGTTTCTGCATCGATTTGATGCTTTTAAAAACGGAGATATGTAATTGGCGTCTATTCAGAATGAAGAAAAAAAAAAAAAAGGTTAAGGAGATTGATTACCAAAAATTTGCATTTGCTGCATCACTTCAATACCTGATTAGCTATCCCCGTACTCAGCCAAATACGCATTTTTTGTTCTACTACCGAATAGCCCTAATTAACACCAAGAGCCCCCAAATCTCAATCAAAAAGATCACTAACTTCAAATGAGTAATTGATTAACAACAAAGCAAAACAAGAATGATTGATTTGAAATTAGAGAAGAAAAAGGGAACCGGAAAATTGAATAGGAATATCGAATTGGGAGATTTAACTGCAATCAGGATATGATCGAGGGAGCTCTTGATCGACTGGAACTGAGCAAGATAGTTCGCCATGTTCGACCTCGATCTTCGCCAGACGTATGCAATTGTTCATGATCCATATAGAGAGAGAGAGAAAGAGACCTATACATAAATGTATTGAGAGAGAGCTGAGCGAGATGGTGGTTGTAATTATGTGGGTTTGCTCTCTCACTGTGTAATGGAAGAACTGGAAACTCATTAATTCGGCCTTTTTATTTTGGACTAGTTTGATGTTGGATGTCTTTTAATTATTAAATAAAGTTATTAAAATGCTTTTGATTAAGGTCTAAAGTTTGAAACTCTTTTCTTTGGTTTTTCTTTCTTTGTATGGTGTTGATGCATTTTTGGTTCATCATGCATGGCATAACAAAGTGACTTGTAAAAATGCAATTCAAAATTCGTTGGTGGTATATAGACAATAATTGTACGAGATGGTGCTTCTATATAATTTGAGTGATTTTATTTTAGTTTTAATAAATGAGAATGGTTTGTTTTGTTATAGAATGTTGATTTTTTTTTTTTTAAAAAAGTCGGATTTTATTAATGTACTTGGATTATTGAGCCAGATTATATTTCATAAATGAATAATTGTGATCTTTAGTTATTAAACATGTATGTGTTTGGGCCCAAAATAACAATTTGGATCGAAAATGGGCTAACCTGAACTCAAAAGCTACATTTCTCAGCCCAGTAAAAATCCCTCATGCCATAGAGGTTTTAGCCCAAGAAGGGGTTGATTGGATCAAGTCTTTATGAAAATAGGACTGTGTGGCGATTAAGATCAGATATGACTCGGTTGAGTTCTAGGCAAGTTGAAATTGCTAAGGATCAGGATAAATGTCACATCCCCGCTCGGGGCGGATCACTTCCCGGGCCTGCTCCACCACCGTAGCACGATATTGTCCGCTTTGGGCTTACCATTCCCTCATGGTTTTGTTTTTAGGAACTCACGAGCAACTTCCCAGTGGGTCACCCATCATGGGATTGCTCTAGCCCCCATCTCGCTTAACTTCGGAGTTCCTACGGAACCCGAAGCCAGTGAGCTCCCAAAAGGCCTCTTGCTAGGTAAGGATGGGAATGTACATTTAAGGATCACTCCCCCTGGGCAATGTGGGATGTCACAATCCACCTCCCTTAGGGGCTCGACGTCCTCGTCGGCACGCACGCAACCAGGGTTAGGCTCTGATACCAATTTATCACATCCCAGCCCGAGAGGGACCACTTCTCGGGCCCGCTCCACCACTGTAGCGCGATATTGTTCGCTTTGGGCTTACCATTCCCTCACGGTTATGTTTTTGGGAACTCACGAGCAACTTCTCAGTGGGTCACCCATCATGGGATTGCTCTAGCCCCCTTCTCGCTTAACTTCGGAGTTCCCATGGAACCCAAAACCAGTGAGCTTCCAAAAGACCTCTTGCTAGGTAAAGATGGGAATGTACATTTAAGGATCACTCCCCCCTGGGCGATGTGGGATGTCACAATAAAACCCTGATTAAATGCGAATCCTAATTCAGAACCCAGTTAAACCAAAGAAGCTGAGACTAGATGAAGATGAACTTCGGCTAAGGAAGGGAAAAAGAAAGAATATTTAGCACTCTATTCAGCAGACTTGTTTATCCTGAAGGGGCCTCTTCAACTCAACAAACAAACTCTACACAAAAACTTCGCTCTACACGAAACCTTCTCACAACCCAAAGGAAAATACTAATTATCCTAACTCCTCTATGAACACATATTCATTTAGTTGGAATATCACTAGGTTGACAACCGACAACATGTTTAGTTCGTTGGAACATCACTTGGAGTGTAGAACTAATTGCTTTGGAAAAGGATGACCAGTCTCGGAAGTTCTCTAATAAGAAACAAAAGTATTCCAGTTGGAATAAAAGTTTTTTTTAGTAGTTTCATTAATCCTTTTTTCATGATAGGTAAGGCAAAGCGCTTTCTTTTAAGAATGTATCTGGTTCCATCTTTCTTTCGTTAGTTAACCCACCTTTTTCAAAAAGGGATTGTAGTAATTCAGGTTTTACACTTTTTGGAATGGCTCTCTCATATTGAGAGATTCTGTCCAGTGGCATTCGATCACAGAATCCATTGACAGCTGCATAAATGACTAGAATTTGTTTTTCAATTGGAAGTAGTGCACATTGTGGTCGTTTACCTTCACCTTGGTGGAACAACACTACTTCTAGTTTAGTTGGTTATCTATCCAAGTCTCAGCCAGCGAATAATTTTTTATTTCCTCACAAAAGAGGTCACTTTATTAGTTTCCCAGCAACGTGAAGTGTTTTATGATTTGTTACTCTCAAGTGCATTTTGCAATTCGACATTCAGACGGCCAAACCATGTTCACCATTAACACACTTATGTCCCTTGAGTATCTTTGCCCCTAAAACCTGATATCGATTCGACACACTTATATTCTTACTAATATAAATAAGGCAGCCGAACCTGGTGCGGAGATTCTGTACTAAGTGGTGAACTAGGCAACCTTATCTTCAGGTTCAAAAACCCTAGGCTGAGAGGTGTTACCCTTAGCCGTAGTTGCTCAAGTGCAGAAGTCAGCAATGTATTTGACACACCACCAAATCAATTATACTCGCCCGACCCAACTCTGTTGCGAGTTGGCACGCCCGCATTCACAAAGATGACGTAGTTAACTCATAGTTACTAGATCTGTGCAATATCAGTGTATAAGTATATTTTTATAAAGTTTGAATCAAACTAGGTTTTTAACTATAATAGTGTTGTGCCACTTAGTAATACCATGTAGGTGGTATTCCTCTTCACTTATAACTGAAAAGGCTTTAGATTCGATTATCATCAAAGACGAATTTAAACCATATCATTTCTAACTCATTGTAAGGCTAAAACCACCTCCTTCTTTTCCCTTGGTACAAATAATATAGTAGTTGTTCAAAAAAAAAAAAAAAAAAAAACTATATAATATTGTAGTGAAGGGTTTTTTGTGAATGTACCGTCTCTAAATTCGTATTTTAATACAAGCAGGTGCTGCTTTTCAAACGCTCTTCCACGTTTTCCTTCCCCGACGCATGATTTCACAGCAGAGCCATAATCCACACTCCGACTCCATTGCTGCAACACCCAAACCAACATTCAAAACTATGCAAAGCGCGAAAAATACGACGGCGTTTCGATCAATCTTCGACGCCGGAGAGCTGAATTCGGAACTGGAAAAGTCCGGGGTCAAGCCCAGCTTCATCCCCAACTTATGGAAGCAGGTGATCCAAAACCCTGATGCCCAATTCGACCAAATTCCATCTCTGCCCTCGGCAGCGTATCCTCTCCTGACCTCCAAATTCAAAACCCTAACCTCCTCTGTCCACAAGGTCATGGACTCCTCAGACCAACTCACCACCAAGCTCCTCATAAAGCTGCAGGTTTGCCCCATTTCTTCTGTTGCACACAAACTGTTCGATAAAATGCCTCTGTGAAAAAACTCTCGCGTTGTTTTATGTTTTTGTTAGAATGGGGCTCTTGTGGAAGCTGTGATAATGCGATACGACAGCCGCTTGGGGAGGTATGATGGGAAGCCCCGCCCTGGTGGTCCTAGGTCCACCTTGTGTGTATCATCTCAGGTATCAAGTTATGAAATTTTTCGTTTTCGTGTGGAAATTGCGGGAATTGAATGTTTATGTTGATGTTTGAAGGTTGGTTGCAAAATGGGTTGTACTTTCTGTGCTACTGGGAGTATGGGGTTTAAGAGCAATCTGACCTCGGGGGAGATTGTGGAGCAGTTGGTTCATGCTTCTCGCATTGCGCCCATACGCAATGTTGTGTTCATGGTAATTGCTTTTCCTTACTGGCTTAGGGGTTGTATTAAGTGACATGGATATGGAGGAATGAAGGAACCATTGAACTTTTGACATTTGATTTTGTGTATTCTTGTCAGGGAATGGGGGAACCTTTGAATAATTATGGTTCCTTGGTGGAAGCGGTTCATGTCATGACTGGATCACCATTTCACTTGTCGCCTAAGAAAATTACTGTATCGACGGTAGGCATTGGAAACTACCATTATGTCTAAGATCTTTTTCTCTGCCAAAATACTATTGCTTTCGGCATTAAGATATGGTGGATCTTAATCACTTTCTCGTACTGTTCTATATGATTCCATAATCAAATTTTTGTAGTCTTATTTTTTAGATTTGGTGGATCTTAGTAAATTGGGTAGCACATAGTACCCTTTTACTTCTTTTGTTGAATGGGGGTGAATCATAGTTGCATTAGTAATGATGTAGTTTGCAAGTGCTAGAAACATTTGGCTTACTCATGCATTAGTTGTGCATCAAATCTTCTGTAGGTTGGTATTATTCATGCTATCAAAAAGCTTCATAGTGATCTTCCAGGTCTGAATTTAGCAGTTTCACTGCATGCACCAGTCCAAGAAATCCGTTGTCAGATAATGCCTGCTGCTCGGGCTTTTCCTTTAGTAAAGCTTATGGATGCACTGCAAGAATATCAAAAGAACACGTAAAGTTTGAGTAAATTCTATTAGCTTTCATTTCTGTGTGAATGAAACTTTTACTGTCGTTTTACACTCCCCAAAAATCTCACTATTGTCTTTTAAACTGATTCTTCAGTCAGCAGAAAATCTTCATCGAGTACATAATGCTTGATGGAGTGAATGATGAAGAGCACCATGCACACCTACTCGGAAAATTGCTAGAGACATTTCAAGTGGTGAGTTCTTATCTATGAACTTGCAGCATATTAGGAACTTCAGTCCCTTTTGTGTGTGTATATATACATATATCCAAAGTAACCTTTGCATTTGTTGTTTCCTGTCGTATAGGTAATAAATTTGATACCTTTTAATCCAATCGGTATTCTGAGTAAATTCACAACCAGTAACGAAAACAAAGTAACAAGATTCCAGAAAATTCTACGAGGCACTTATGGCATCCGAACGACAGTACGTAAGGAAATGGGTCAGGATATAAGTGGAGCATGTGGTCAGTTGGTAGTGAACTTACCCAACAAGAGGTCAACTGAGAGCACTCTAACTGATATAGAAGATCTTCAGGTCAGATAGATCGCTTATTGCTTCCGGTGGTGTTCACGCCCGAAAGTCCGTTAATGCCGGTCAAAGTAGCCAACGGTCTCCAGACCATAATTAGTGTTTCTGTAATCTTGATAATTTTGTTACTCATTCAGTTCTTTTTGGGGTTGCAGTAGCAAAATTTCTGTTGTCATTTTTATCGTATCAGCTTGAGATCTTCACTTGATACACCTAAAACTGTTTTTTCTCCCTTTTCTTTTTTGTTTAATTTGTATGTCATAAAATATAAACCCTCTCATTTATCCAAGTGTTTATTGAGAAATTCCCGGCTGGTGAATTTTTAGTTTTTAATCATCCCGAACTTTTGCCACTTAGTACTACAATCTAGTAATATTTATTTTCACTTGTAAGTGAGAGATCTTAGATTCCATTCTCGTCAAAAGCGAATTTAAACTACACTATTACTAGCCTATTGTGAGGTTAAATCCATTTCCTCTCCTTCAGTATAAATAAATTGTTTGTTCAAAAAAAAAAGAAAAAAAAAAAAAAACAGAACGAGAGGGATGCTGAACTTAGAGCAAGCCATAAATAAAGTACAATTAATATTGCGGTCGCGGGATTACATTATAAAAGATTGTAACCCATTCTACTGGCGTATGTTTCTCCATTATTATTTAGAATTATTTGTTTTTATGCTAACAACTCTATGACGATAATCTCACTTTACCCTATGTGCTTTCATTTCATGTTTCATGTTACTTCATTCCGTCATTTGGTTAGAAAAATCATTAACTTAGTTGATGTAGAAAATGAGATTTTCATCAAAGCACAAGGGGATATAACCGAAAGTGAAATGATTTCACACCGCATTTCTCTTCTCAAGCACAGCAATGTTTATTTTAACCTTTCCATTAAGTAAAGCAAAAGAGAATCAATATATTAAAAAAATACAAAGGTGTGTAACAGAAAGAAACAACGTGCATAAATCATTTTCCCAACAAAAAAGCCTTTATTTTTTATGACATCTGGATGGTTTCATATACACGTGACCACCCTTGCAACTCACAACTGAACCCAAAAGGATCAGCTGGAAGCTGATCATTCTCCCTTAACTAACACGTGAGGAGCATCTTGACTACTTCAGAATCTTACACTATTTTTCAACCTCTGCAGCCTCACATACTCTCACCTGCATCTTCATTTGCCAGACCAGTTCAAAATTTTCAATTTAATTGAAAAGCGAAAAAAAAAACCTCGCTTTTATAAAAAACCAAATAGAGCACTGCTCAATTTGCTACGTTGTTTCGGAGTCTCAAAACTTTCAAACAGAACGAAAAATGCAAGCAGCAGCAAATCCTAGAAACCTTCTGATTGCCCTCTTGCTCGCCATGCTCATTTCTTCTCACTTGGTTCACTCTGGGTACTTCGCCAGCTCTCCATCACCTTCGCCAGTGAGTACTTCATCCGACACTCTTCTCTAATCAAATGATTCACTCTTACTTTTCTGTTTATCGTTTTAGTTTTCTGAATTTTGCGTTAGGCTGTAGGAAATCCAACGGCGAATGATCATGAACCATCTAAAGGGAAAGGGACTGTTAAAAGGTTAAGGAGAGGGTCATTTCCGGCTACTTGTCGTTCAAAATGTAACGAGTGCGAGCCTTGCATGCCAGTTCTAGTATCTGTCCGAGCAATGGCATTGGAAGAGATTGAGTACTATCCACAGGTTTGGAAATGTGCCTGCGGTGATAGCATATTTTCCCCTTAAGGCTGGCTAGATTAACTTAACACTACTGCTGTACGTAAATAGGCCTAGTTACTAGAAGTTTTCTCTAGATTAATACAAGTTAAGATTCATGCAGTGCACCTTATGTGCAGAAGAATTCTTGCACACAACAGAGGTAATGAAACATTTCTCTCACAGCAGAGAAATGTGTTGTAAGAAATTTTCACCGTATATGCATGCTATGCTACCATTGTTCTCCAGTTGTTTTGTGTAATGGGATTGAGACAGATGAAATATCCAAATGGTTATTGAATGTATTCGAAGGCTCAAAGTGAGGGAATATGAGCATAAAGCGAAGGTTACAAATCAGGAAATCCTGATTTGGAGGCTAAACGTCGATGGCTGTCCACATCTTTTCTTGTCTTAAACTTACAATCGAGAGTAGTTTCAGCTGTAGGTGTTGATTGAACACATTGTTCGGTGCTCGACACATGAACTTTCTACCACTACACAAATAACTTGACCAAATTTTGAAGGGCATTTTGGTTAAAGAAGTAAACACCTTAAGGTCATTTCTTCATTTTTCCAACAGTACGTTTTCAGAGCTACTCAAAATCACCTCCAATCGGGAACTAAATCATCGCAAACCAAAGGGAAAAGATAGGAAATTGCGGAAGACAATGAAAGACGGATGGTAGCGAACCAAATCAATGCGAAGAAGAAGATCAAACCGCTTAACTAAGTAGATAATGAAATCTACTGCTACTCTCGGAATCTTAGTAACACGAAGATTTCTTGGACAAATATATTCAATAATCTAAAAATTGCTTAATCTGTAATACAAATAGCTCACTTGATTCTATAGTATTCTGTTTTAACATGTATCGCAAACAAGAAATTCACATATAACTTATTCGACGTAATTGATACAGAATCAACATCTAATGTAGGCTCCTCATGTTACATGCAACAGCAATAACAATTTAAGGATGATAAGATTATAAGAGTTAATATCATATGATCAAGGAAAAAAAATTTTGAAATCCAATGCAATGCAATCACCTGCATTATTGCTTGACATTCTCTAAGTACCAGCTATAAGTATCAACAAGCCCGTCTTTCAGCGAGATCTTCGGTGTCCACCCCAACCCTGCAAGCTTTGAGCTATCCATGAGCTTCCTCGGAGTTCCATCGGGCTTGGTAGAGTCCCAAACAAGCCGGCCCTCGAACCCAACAACCTCCTTGACAAGCTCAGCCAACTCCTTAATTGTCACTTCCTTGCCACTACCCACATTGACATGCTCCAACCCACTATAACTGTCCATCATGAACACCACTCCATCTGCCAAATCGTCGACGTGCAAAAACTCCCTCAGGGGGCTTCCAGTCCCCCACACCACCACCTCCTCCGCCCCTTTCACCTTTGCCTCGTGAAACCGCCTCATCAATGCCGGCAACACATGCGAATTTTCAGGGTGAAAGTTGTCATGCGGCCCATACAAATTGGTGGGCATCCCAGAAATTGCATCCCAACTGTACTGAATCCGATACGCCTGGCACATCTTGATCCCCGCGATCTTGGCAATGGCGTACCACTCGTTGGTAGGCTCCAGTGGTCCCGTCAGCAATGCGTTCTCCGGGATGGGCTGAGGAGCGAATTTGGGGTAAATGCAGGAGGAGCCAAGGAACAAGAGCTTCTTGACTCCAAATCGGTAGGCGGCGTCTATGACATTGGTCTGGATCTGGAGATTGACGGCGATGAAATCCGCCGGGTACGTGTTGTTGGCGTGAATGCCGCCGACTTTAGCGGCGGCAAGGATCACGAATTGGGGTTTCTCGGCGGCGAAAAAGGACTCGACGTCGGCCTGGCGAGTGAGGTCGAGCTCGGCGTGGGTGCGGAGGACGAGGTTGGTGAAGCCTAGGGCTTGGAGCTTGCGGACGATGGCGGAGCCGACGAGGCCGCGGTGGCCGGCTACGAAAACCTTCGCCGATTTGTCGGAGAGGAAGGAAGGCGAAGCGGCATCTGGAGAGAGAGAGAGAGAGTACAATTAGTGTGAGGAACTGAGAAATTAACTGTCATGTTTGTTTGGTTGCCGAGAAAGTGTAGGTTAGATTAGTTTTTTTTCTCAGAAACCAAACAGATTGCAGTGAGAGAGAGAGAGAGAGAGAGTACTCTTATTGGCGCCACTCATGTTGTACTTGCTTGAGTAGTGCAGGAAGATCTGGGAAGAGACTAGTAAGCGCTGGGATTGATTCTATACTAATGGTTTCAATTAGTTTTCCAATCGCACCCCTCCTGCTCAAATAATAATTATAAAATACTAATAGTGTGCCCGCACGTTATACGTCTAATTAAATTTGTCTATTATTTGTTATAAAAATGAAATTGGCTGTGGAACTTGGAAGATGGGGAAGACGTAGGGTTAAAAAAACTCTTCTCAAATTTTTATTTAATTTGTAATTTTTAAACAGGGCATGTTATGTTTAATTGGCTGTGAGATTTGTGTAAAAGATAACAAAATTTATGTTGCATGTAATTACTAAATTGTTCATATATTTTTATTTTTGTTTAGTTTTGATAAGAGGGTTAGAATAGTAATTTTATAGAGTTTTGGTTGACAAACAGAATTCTATTAATAGGTAGTTTGGATATTATTTTTCCTCACAAATGATTCTTAAAATTGATCCACGTTATTATGATGTTACATGAAATTGAATATTGATCAATATTGTTCCTGAAAATTGATGTTGCAAATCAATATGGTTTTTCTGTCACAATTTTATCAAAAAATCTGTTAGGTGCTGATTTGGCACATTACTAAGTCCCACAAATCTAATTAAATATTGTCATGTAGATTACAAACGTTTAACTAATAAAAATTCAATTTATATTTTTGGGTATGGGATTTCGATTTTGTTTGTTCCGTGTGGATTTTTCCTATGGTTTTGTTCTTGGTTTCAGTGGAAACTGATCTTTAGTTGTGTGCTGCTTTTGTGTGCAAGTTTGGAAGCTGCGTGTGTTAAGGGTGAGTGTTTTTGCGTTCTCCCTTTGGGGGTTTTCCAGAGGGAGATTTTTTTATTTTTGTGTGTTGTAAGTCTTCATTCAGCACTGTAAGATATGATCGATAATAATTTTTTTATGAAATCCCAATTGAATCTAAAGTGAACAGCTTTACACACACGCCCTAAATTTATATATGGAGAATTAAGTTTTATATTGGGAATCCATGATTTTTTTTTTTCCCCTCAGTCTGTTGTTCTTCTTGATAGGAAGAGCTTGGTGAAAAATGATTTCCTGTTTGTTTTTAGAATTGAGATGTGTGTATTCGTGTTTTTGTTTACGTTTTCTGCATTTTAATTTTTTTTTGGTACAAAAATGATTTCTCCTAAGGATTTTAAGCCATAGTAAGACTTTAGTTGCTTTATAAGATGAAAAATACTGATTGAGAGATGGTTTTACAGTTTTATGGTCAAATTTTTGTTGGGAATTGCTGTTTGAGAATAATGTTGTCTCAACAATTGTTTTCTTATGATTTCTAGGCTTTTAGATTAAAAATGTTAGTTTTGATACTTCGAGTTTTTAGGTGTTTTCCGTGTAGATGAGACATCTAGCATAATGAAGATACAAGTAAATTGAAGTTATTGAACATAAGGGTATTTAATGTTTTATATTTTTTATCTTAGCATATACTATTCAAATCAAAAAACGACACGAAAAAGGTATAGCAATATTACATTAGCTGTCATTGTTAATCAATATTACATTGTGCTATTATTTTCTTCATATAAAAAAACGGATTTACCTCTTTGTTATCTATTGTGTTTAGCATTTTTTAAAATAGGAAAATTTAAATATTCATCTTAGATAAAATTTTGTGAGAAAGTACTAATTTTTGACAAAATTTTTCTGCTGTTTGGTGATGAATGCATTTTGAACTAGCTCAAACATATCTTCTTTCTTGCTCTGATTTTTATAGGGATATCATGTATTTTCTTATGGGATCCAAGTTTTTATGATGCACTTTGTAAAAAACTGATTTTGAACGAGGTGCTTAGATTTTTTAAGAGGTCGTGCAGGTTTTATATGTGTCAAATGTTTCAGATGCAGTGTTGTTTCTTTGAATTCTTATTCTTTATTTAAGTATCTTAAAAATTTATATAACTCAGTTCGGTGGTTATTTTAAGAATAAACTTACAGGTTTTCTTTTGTTTTAAGTTATGTCAAAGTCTGAACTTTGTTTTTTGGCTGCTTTTATGTGCAGGTTTGGAATGCATGTGTGCTGAAGGTAAGTCCTTTTGTCTTTTCTGTTTACGCCTTTTACAGAGGGAAATTTTTTGCTTTTTTGTGTTCTGAAAGTCATGTGTAGTGTTGTGTTTAGTTTTTATTCGGTTTTTAACTTAGGATTTGTTTTATTGGTAATGAGCTTGGCAATGGTGAGCTTATCATGGTATTTTTTTTTTTTTGTAAGAAACTGATTTTTAAATATGTAAATTGTTTGAGATATGGTGTTGTTGTGGGTTATCAACTGGGTGAGTAATGACTGCTATCAATGTTGGCAAAACGAAAGAAAAGAAACACAAAAGAAATGGTGTATTTCAAAGGAATGATCACCTAATTTGTGCAAAAAAGTGATTGTTCTTAGTATGTTTTTTAGGAGACATAATATTTGTATGTTCATATTTTATAAATTATAGTATAGACCATAAGAATAGCTAGAAACATATTTGTGTCAAAAGAAAAGAAAAGTATATATGCGCCTATTTACAAGTAACATCGGTCAACCGTTTTGGTTGTGTAATTGTGTCATTCCATCAGTTTTTCTCTCCATTTAATGATGGTCAAATTTTTGCTTCGTTTTTCAAGTGCTTTCCACTTTAAACATCAGCTGAGGATTTGGCTTTACTAATGTTTGCAAAATGTAGGTTTCATACTAAATTAGTTCCGAAGGTTGCTTATCATTGTCTGGGTTATTTACTTTTCAATTTATGCTAATTTTTATTTTATGTAACTCCGAATTGTACCTACAATTGTTTCTTTGAATTTGTTCATGTCCCTATTGTAACAAAATGCGTTTAAGTGGTAAATCATGTGGTTGATGAGGCAAGTTCTTTTTTTTTTTTTTTTAAATTTGATAGTATTGTTATTGATTAAGTATTACAAGTTTTTCAGTTTTTTCACAGCATATATTGTTCGTTTGTTCGAAATTTGTAACTTCATTATGGTGCATGGTGTAAACAAATAAATGGCAACTCTTCAATTTATAAAGTCACATTTCTGGACGAAAACAAAAAAAACACTTTATGTTTATATCGCCTACAAAAACATGATAACCTTTTCTTTCTTTGTTAACTTATTAAAATTGACTTACTAAGTTTTTTTTCTTTTTGGTTTATGCATTTGCAGTGTGGGAAAGTAGTTTGTTATCTACTTCACCCTGCTTTTTCCTTCTTGGATAAGTGCTTGACATTTTTCTCGTAGTTTTTGTAAGTAATGTTTTAGTATTTGTAATATTTGGTTTCTTTTTTAGTTTGCCTTTTCCAGCCGTTGTGTTACCGCTTTCATAAACTGTTGACTGTTTGATAATACTTATTGTATGTTATCTGTTAATATGTGTCTGTTTGTGTTAATTTCTTAATCTCAAGTGTATTTCTTTCTCAAATTTGGTTCTCTAATTGCTTTTGGTTGACTTATTTCTTTTTGGACTTCTTTGTATTTTTGAAGTTATGAGTTTATACTGTCGTTATTGATTTTGTAACAATTGTGTTGGAAATTGTTTTGATGGGTTGCTAAATTAGGAATGAAAAATGAAACAAATTAGTCATTTCTTTCATATTTGTTTTCAAACTTGTCTTACGCTAATTTTTAAGTTTAAAAAATTATATTCTCTTTGAGTAGGTTAAATGGAAATCGTGAAGGTCACTCCTATTGCTGAATTGCATGCCTACACTAAAGCAGACAAAATAAAGATTCATGTGTGTAGGGTATAGAAATCAAGCATTGCTGGAGAAATATGTGACACTACACTGTATCTTAGTTGATGAAACAATGAGTGATCATTGTATTATAATTTTAATTAGGAATTCTAACAATAATAGTTATATCATTGGTTTTCTTTTCATTTATAAGTTTGTTGATTTGTATTTATGTTTTTATATATTTTTTTTCCTGTTTCATTTTTATGCATTTACGAAGTGTTTTATAAATCTTCCTTCTGATAGTTTATAGATTTTCAATGAATCTATTTGCCTGTTGTGCCAATTTAATCTCTCTGTATCAAACTATAATGTTTTTTTTTTCTTTTTTTTTTTTCGGGATGTCATCGATTGCGAAGAACAATGCGGTTGAAGCTCTTTTGCATCAGACATTGATTTTGATGTCGTTGCCTTAAAGATTTAGGCTGGTGATTGCTACAAAGTCATGAATTTTCGTACAATTAGGATCAGATGGCAGTATAAAATCGTGTCACATGATACCCAACTTATATTCACTGCTAAAACAGTGTTTAGAAAATTATCAGCCATCTTTCCGCCCATTCCTCGCCATTGGGTTTTCCTGCTATATTTTAACATGCTTTATCCCCGTTTGAATAGAGATGCTATTCTTATAGGTAATATTAAGACATATATATTTGTCTCTGTGTGCGTGTGTGTCTATGTGTGCATCAATTGAAAACATTTATGTTCTTTTTTTTTTTTTAAATGAAATGTGTTTTGACATAGTTTTTGAGGTAAATTACACTTTACCACCTTAGGTTTGAAGTCTAGTGCAACCTTATATAACATCTTCAAAACATTTCACTTTCATACCTCAAGTACTATTTTATTTCAATATAATAGATTCGTTACATTTTCCATCCATTAATCCGTTAAGAGCTGACGTGGCTGCCACATTTATGCCACGTGGCAAAAAAATAATTTTTTATGCATTAAAATATTATAATATTGATCCTATTAAAAAAACCAAAAAAAAACCAACCTAGAAACCTCTCCCTATCCACCCTCTTTGCTCCCATCATAATCAAGCCAAACAACAATACAAAACCTAATTTTGTTGACAGACCAATAAGCTTATAGCATGTGTGCCTGCTTTGTGGCTAAAATTCACTCTGCTTTTTAACTAAAGGATCCTTCATGCTTTGTGAAATTTCCAGTCAACTTCCATATTCTCTCTAAAAAAACCACGAACCCTAACACAATCTTTCTCAAAACCTGTTAACCACAACACAATCCGCTCTTGACTCCACCCCTTCCCCGCCGCTCCCACTGCCATCTCCTCCACTAGACTTGGACCTCCCAAC